GACGCTTGAGTGTTACAATCAGGTTTTATCTACTTTAAAAACACTGCATTAGGATGCCTTAATGATTCACATTAGCAATAGCATAAAGCATTGGCTATTCGTCCTGGTGTCATACCTATGTATTAATGCATTTTATATTAATAGCTAACACTGGCCCGAATATCAAGCTTGTCCTTAAGGTTAAAGGTTCAAAGTTAGTTTATTTATATAGGACATTTTAAGACACAGGGGCAATTCAAAGTGTTTCACATAGGCATTTAACACATAATAATTAAAAACAAACACACAAAAACAAAAAAAGGACAATTCATAAAAGCGATAAAATACGGTCTGCAGCTAAAAGTGAAATGATGAGGTTCAAATCAGAACCAGAACTAGCTTTTTACATGTGCAATTCACAGGAAGAAAACTGCTTAAATGGGGATTGAAATAGATATTACAATTAATAAGCAGAGTTGGCAAAAGTACACACATCCTTTACTCAAGTAAAAGTACAGATACTTAAAAATACTCTGGTGAAATTAGAAGTACTGACTAAACTTCTTTACTCAAGTGAAAGTAAAGAGGCTTTGAAATGTACTTCAGTAAAAAGTACCCATAACTAGCAGCTGTTTTAAAGAGTACCTGACCTCCCTTTATATTAATAGAACAATAATGTCATTGTTAGCTAATGAATGTTTCCATGCTGAACAACGGCAACATGACAACGTTTTCATTGGTCCCTCTTCTTTAGAGAAGACCAGGAAATGATGGATACACGGATCGTGTTCAAATCAATAGGCACGCAATGACTCTAAATAATAATGATCACGCCACCAAACACACATTCAAACTAAAGGAACCAGCCTGTTTGGGAAATGTGAGAAGTAGAAAGTACAGGTATTTGGGTTCAACATGTAAGAAGTAGAAAGTACAGGTATTTGTGTTCAACATGTAAGAAGTAGAAAGTACAGGTATTTGGGTTCAACATGTAAGAAGTAGAGAGTACAGGTATTTGGGTTCAACATGTAAGAAGTAGAAAGTACAGGTATTTGGGTTCAACATGTAAGAAGTAGAAAGTACAGGTATTTGTGTTCAAAATGTAAGAAGTAGAAAGTACAGGTATTTGTGTTCAAAATGTAAGAAGTAGAAAGTACAGGTATTTGTGTTCAAAATGTAAGAAGTAGAAAGTACAGGTATTTGTGTTCAAAATGTAAGAAGTAGAAAGTACAGGTATTTGTGTTCAACATGTAAGAAGTAGAAAGTACAGGTATTTGTGTTCAACATGTAAGAAGTAGAAAGTACAGGTATTTGTGTTCAAAATGTAAGAAGTAGAAAGTACAGGTATTTGTGTTCAAAATGTAAGAAGTAGAAAGTACAGGTATTTGTGTTCAAAATGTAAGAAGTAGAAAGTACAGGTATTTGTGTTCAAAATGTAAGAAGTAGAAAGTACAGGTATTTGTGTTCAAAATGTAAGAAGTAGAAAGTACAGGTATTTGTGTTCAAAATGTAAGAAGTAGAAAGTACAGGTATTTGTGTTCAACATGTAAGAAGTAGAAAGTACAGGTATTTGTGTTCAACATGTAAGAAGTCAAAGTAAAAAGTGGTCAGAAAAATAAGTAGTGGAGTAAAGTACTGATACCAGAAACATGTACTTAAGTACAGTAACCAAGTATTTGTACTCCACTACTTCCCACCTAATAAGTAAGTAGGGTCTTAAAATGCGCAAAGTCTCAAGCTAGATAAGAGTTCAAGCTACAGTTAGAGCAAAACGCTTCCAAACCACCACTATGTGCAATTTAAATACCATTACCATCATTACAAAAACACTCTCTGCTATAAAACATGTGCAATATTATTATTACTAATAATGTTCTATAATAACGTGCAATAACGTATCTGCCACTACTGCTTTTCACTGTACAGTATTTTACATTAATTATGTGACCGTCTATGTTTCTTGTAGATATTTAATTGCTCTTTTTACTGCACTGTTAGTGTACAGTTTAATTATTATTGTGCTGCTGTGTTTGTTGTATTTTTGTAACTGGCACAACTATTTCCTTCGGGATAAATAAAGTCCTATCTTATCTCTTATCTTATGCCAAAATGACAAGTTCAATAGTAATTAAATACAATAAAAAAGCAAAATGTAGTCAAATGTAATCCCTTTTAAGACCTTTTTTAAGACCCTTTCCATACATTGTAAGACCTCATCGCCACTTCGAGTTCTAACCGGTTACATTGCTTCTAAAATGTTTGGTCTGTTGTATGATATGTTAAAGTGAATAAATCTAAAGCGACATGATGCAAAAATTGGTATATTTGTGGTTTAGCGCCACTACTTTTCCACACTGCAATACACCACTGCAATACACCACTGCAATACACCACTGCAATACACCACTGTCATCAAATAAAACAGCTTAAAGGTAGGGTAGGTAAGTTTGAGAAACCAGCTCGAGTGCGCTAGAATTTGAAAATACACAACCGGAACAAATCTGCCACTTCCTCACAGAGCCCCTCCTCCAACACACACGAACGCGCACATGACCAATGAGGGCACGAGATAAGTTTGTGCACAGATGGAAGGCTGACAGGCAGGTAGGCCATCCAGTTATTTTAGCCGGGCCGGCTCAGATGATTGGTCGTACTTTTTACAGTACCACGGCTTCCACAGATGACCTTTTTTATGGATTTTTTGTCAAAGCACTTCAGATATTCATTGCTATCGGGATGTTAAGAGCATTCCATGGAATATAACAAAAAGTGTATCTCGAGCCGGTTTCTCAAACTTACCTACCCCACCTTTAAGTGTAACACATGCTTTTGTTATGATTACATCACCTATGAAACATCACCAAAAGCCATTCACCATCATTGCTAACTCAGCTAGACACCAAGCAAGTGCAACAATGCAAGACACAGAAACAAAGCTAATAATCGGTTAGCTGCCTGCCTCTGTTTCTGGCACGAAACTGATGCTGCTCCACACCAGCAATCCCCCCTTTCCTTGCTATTGGTATTTAACATGTCCACACTCTGGTGATTCTAGCTTCCAGTCCTAGCAGCACAGCTAACAAAGCTAAAAGCTAACTGAGCTGAGCTAAGCTATAAAATGTACTTGATTGATCCCAATTCGGGAAATGTTTGCGTTGCAGCTGCATAAAGAGACAAGGCAATGTACATTAGAGAAATTAAAAGACTAGAAATAAACAATTCAAAATGTAAACATCTCAAATCCGGCAGTGGCTCAGTCAGTAGGGGCTTGGACTGTGAGCCGTAGGGTCGCCGGTTCAAGTCACCGAACAGACCTAAATATGGAGTGTGGACTGCTACTTGGAGAGGTCCCAGTTCATCTCCTGCCCTGCCGTGGTGCCCTTGAGCAAGGCACCGGACACCCCCCTTCACTCCCATTGCTCCCCGGGCGCTGTACAATAGCTGCCCACTGCTCCTAGTACTAGACTCCTGGTACTAGGATGGGTTAAAAGCAGAGAACACATGTCACTGTGTGCTGGGGGCTCTGCATGTGAGACCATTAAAGAGGGGTGTCATCCCTCAGATCCTATCTATCTTCGATTCTAAATAGCGAACAGCTAACTGAGCTATCAGCTGTTGCAAATTGTAAATCTGTCCATAAGGAAACTCTATTATTCGCGGATGGTTGGAACAGAGCAGCTACAGGATGTAAGGGGGGAAAACTATCCATAACATGTGATCCATTCTCACCCAAAACAAAGGACTACACACCTCTACTAGGAGATTGTACGACTTGCTAACCAACACAAGTGTAAGAACCAGCGTTTAGGGAACACAATGAGACTAACAGAGACAATATTCTCCCGTTTACAAGTTCAAAATCCAGCGTGGCCAACGTGATTTTCAAAAGGTCAAATGATTACATGCTGTTGCTTTAAAGATATCACCTTGGATGGAAATGCTTCCCTTTCTTTCCAATGTTTTATAGACCAAACTATGAATCTAGAAATCAATCGGCGGATCATTGAGAATGAAGATAATCGCTAAAGGTAGGTCATAATAACAACACGGTATTGAAGCTTTAAATGCTTTGCTTAAACTCAGAACATAGACCAAATAGTTGTTTCATTGTGGTAGTTGTCTTTAGCAGAAAAGCATCCTCAAACATGGGAGGAGAGATAATATACGTGACATATACGAGGGCTCATCTGAGGACACTACATTGTTTATCAAAACACGATAACTACGGCCATGCAACACGTATTTTCTTGCTGCTGTTTTGCAACCATTTATTGTGCAATGGATGTCCAAGCCTCTACACTACACTTCATAAACTCTAAGCAGTAGGAAAAACAGAGGACGCCGGCTCACTGGAAAGGAACGCAGCGGCAATTAAGGTTATGAGGAATCTAAATGTTTGCACAGAATAAAAACACAATCATTGAGAGTAGTCAACAAGAGCCAGGATTCATTAATTCAGCTTTCTTTTCTTAAACAAGTACAAACTGACATCAGGCCGGTCATAAAACCCATTTTTAATATCATATCCTTCACATGAATCCCTTAAGAAATCTGACATTACTTACTTAAATTATTTAGCTTGCCGGTTCTAGCTCTGCTACAAAAAGTATTTTATCTGATCATGAGCTGAACATTTGAAAACTGCCTCACGTACCATCAGCTAGTTTACCACCACCACATATATATTGATATATAAATGAAACAAAAACTCAAACTATGACAGCTTTCAAGTCATTAAAAGCACCTAAAAGAAGCATTTATACATATTTACAGTGTGTGTGCTCAACTAAGCTAAAACTATTGATCTAATGCTCGTACCCAAACCCACAGATGAAATGATGACTCCAATGTTCTCACCCAACTCGAGGTTAGAAATCAAACATTTGCACAAAACAAAATGTCATAAAGAGAGACACAAGCTTTGATTAACCACCCAGTTTTTAAAACACCAAGAAAAAACATAAAATTGGCAGATGCGATGCATGCAATGAAAAAAAAGTCTGTCTTTTAAAAGCACTTACCACTGAAATGCGTTGAAATGGAAGTAAACCATGCCAAGGCCATATAAAAAGGCAGCATTCTGAAAAAAAAGAGTGATAGAAAATTGTTACAAAAAGCAATATTAGACTTCTTCAACACCTGTAAAATCAAAAGTTAACTAAAAAAGCGGTGAGGAGTTGACAGTATGACAAACATATCACAAGATATTGATTTGAACATGATATAATAAATAACAATCAAGGCTATAAAGGAACTACAGCACGGTCACATGACTTTGCGTCACCACCGCTAAGCTAAAGGTGGCTAATGTTGGGCTATAAAGGAACTGCAGCACGGTCACATGACTTCACGTCACCACCGCTAAGCTAAAGGCGGCTAATGTTGAGCTATAAAGGAACTACAGCACGGTCACATGACTTCATGTCACCACCGCTAAGCTAAAGGTGGCTAATGTTGGGCTATAAAGGAACTACAGCACGGTCACATGACGTCACGTCACCACCGCTAAGCTAAAGGTGGATAATGTTAGGCTATAAAGGAACTACAGCACGGTCACATGACTTCACGTCACCACCGCTAAGCTAAAGGTGGCTAATGTTAGGCTATAAAGGAACTACAGCACGGTCACATGACTTCACGTCACCACCGCTAAGCTAAAGGTGGCTAATGTTGGGCTATAAAGGAACTACAGCACGGTCACATGACTTCACGTCACCACCGCTAAGCTAAAGGTGGCTAATGTTGGGCTATAAAGGAACTACAGCACGGTCACATGACGTCACGTCACCACCGCTAAGCTAAAGGTGGATAATGTTAGGCTATAAAGGAACTACAGCACGGTCACATGACTTCACGTCACCACCGCTAAGCTAAAGGTGGCTAATGTTAGGCTATAAAGGAACTACAGCACGGTCACATGACTTCACGTCACCACCGCTAAGCTAAAGGTGGCTAATGTTGGGCTATAAAGGAACTGCAGCACGGTCACATGACTTCACGTCACCACCGCTAAGCTAAAGGTGGCTAATGTTGGGCTATAAAGGAACTACAGCACGGTCACATGACTTTGCGTCACCACCGCTAAGCTAAAGGTGGCTAATGTTGGGCTATAAAGGAACTACAGCACGGTCACATGACTTCACGTCACCACCGCTAAGCTAAAGGTGGCTAATGTTGGGCTATAGAGGAACTACAGCACGGTCACATGACTTCACGTCACCACCGCTAAGCTAAAGGCGGCTAATGTTGGGCGTGATGACTTTTAGTCGTCTCATTTAGACTCTTGTTAGCTACCACTGTTTTTAAATTCACCAGTGGGGTATTTACTGACATATTTTATGTCGTAGAATAAAATCTCTTCCGCTTGTGTTAACCACAGACCTTATTTCAGGCTAACAACACATTCAATGACTTTGAGAAGAGGTAAAACGACTAATTTCTGCAGCTCTCTATGCTTTTCCATGATAAACATAATTATGTTGACCCATCTTTCCCGTTAGGAGCCCACTTAGAGCCTTATTTGGTCAACCCCATTAACTCAGGCTACTCTACGTCACTACTGCTCCAGAAACAGCATCATTATCCAGCGAGGGTTGGCCCGCACACCCTCTCTGCTCTGTAGAAACCTGTAACACTGAAGAGCTGTCAGGTCCGATCCCATCCAGCTCTCAGCACCTCCGTCTAATGGCCACTCCAAACAGGGAAACATCAAACTAAAGCGAGCCTATTCATCCACACTGAGATCATGCAGAGGACAAGCTGGACGCCATCACATCACAGCTGAGCGGACCATTTAACTCCAGGCCATGAGCAGGAACTGTGGGCCATCCAAACTGAGGAAAACATGTTTGCATATGATACTAAAACATTGAAATAGGCACAAAATAAGATGCAGCTAAGCTAAATGCTGTATAGCTGAGTTAACTGAAGGTGTGTAAGGTATCAGGGGTCAACCAAAATAACTTAATATTTATTGTTTAACCTTTATTGGAATTATGACGTTTTTATTACTATTATCTTTTTATTTCTGTTGTACGTACCTATATGTTCACTTTGAATGCAACAATATAAAACACCAAAAAACAGTTGTCTTGTGTCTTATCTTTCCGAGAGAAATCATTATTCTTTTACCTCTTTGTGTCTCTTAACCTGTTACATGTTCTATTTAGCTGCATGTACCTTTTAAAAAGTTCTTAACAAATAATCTGAGGGGAATTTCTTGTTGTTTATTTTTAACTTGTGATGTGTCGCCATGTTGTAAAGCACTTTGAGCTGCACGTGCTGTATGAAAAGAGCTATATAAATATTATTAATTGATCAATTAATAACATTTTGGGAGATATGACAAACCAAAAATGTGTTGGTCACAATTCAATAAAAAGTGAAATTGGGCATTACAGTGAGGCACAACGCTGTGGCTAACTTCAACAAACAAAGCACCAACATGAGTCTGACTGACATACCTTGCATTAAGTTCTGCATTACCCCATAAAGGAAGGGTGATGTAACAATGTTCACATGATGCTTTTCTTGCTCATTACTCCTTTAAAAAAAAGCTCCAACTAGGGCTGTGCGATTATGGCAAAAATCCTAATCACGATTATTTTTGGTCAATAATTGATATCACGATTATTAAAAACGATTATCCATTTACTTTGAAAACATCCATTTATTGAAATAAAAATGTGAACAGTATGTTTTTAACAGTTGATTACCCTGAACTTTAAGTATAATTCAACTGAAAAACCAAAAAATAAAAATAAAAATAATTATTTTTTTAAAAACAACAATTTTTTTTTTTTTATAAAAATAATAATCGTTTTATTTCGATTACGTTGTTTTCGTAATCATTGCAAGCCAAACTCGTAATCGAGATTAAAATACGATTAATTGCACAGCCCTAGCTCCAACTGCATACATACAGACATTGGCACCCGGATGATTGTATGTTATTGCTCAGACAAAGCGTTAAATCCATTATACTATGGATATGGCTTCAGTGGCTGTACCATGGCTAACTTTACTGCCCCATTTACGGCATCGTAAAGACACACAGGTCTTGAACCTGCTATCAGATATGACAGAAGTATGACCGATAACCCTACAGGAGTTAAACAGTAGCTTTAAATCAACGCTCAGACAGTAAAACCATGTCAACCACTAAAGCAACAGTCCGTCTCAAATGATCAGACAGAATGGGTTTTAGTAGCCTGATTTGCCATGAAAGCCTTACGTTAAAAAACAACTCTAACTGGGAGCGAAAGACGTCAACAACTATTTCAAGCTAACATCAGCTCACCTTCAACTTCTCCCAAGGCATATCAGAGCCAATTACAGCCTCAACTACTTTCTATCCTGATAAGCTGTTGACTAACATCTTAATACATTCAAGAGACTGACATCTCGTCCACTCTTTCCATTCCCGAGCAACACATTTTAATAGAGTCCACTGTGTCTGCATTCAATGTACAGTTCAACCATTTAATGACTTCTGTGAGTGTCTGAAGATGTGTACAATGGGTGAACATTGCATTAAAAAGGGCACTGCGGCAGAATAAAGACCTTCAACATGTGGTTTTTCATAGCTAAACTGTCCGACTTATTCACTTAACATCTAATCTTGTGTTTCCCTTGATTGGACTAAACCATATAACAATAAGTGAAGATGGCTGCAGGTCAACCGACCATCACCGGGATTGAATAGCAAGTGTTGGTGTCTGTGATTTCAATAAAACGATGTCCGACTGTGAAAATAACTTGTTTTTAAACCAAAATGTTGGGCTCAGGTTACGATGACTTTCAGCCAATGGCTCAAGCTTTTTAAGTGAAAACTGCCATGGTTTGTGTTTACGTGAAGTCCAACAAACAGCAGAGTACACAAATTACAGTTTTGATGATTGAAAATAATAGTGGCTTCCCAACAAACAGTGCCAGTAATATTTAATGTTGTATAGCATGTAGAATTGTGAAAACTCACCTTCCAGTAGTCCGACTGTAAACTGAAGTACCTCTGGTATGCAGATAATGCTGAGATAATGGTGAGATACAGAAAGAGGAGAGAAACACAAGACAATGAAAAGTTAGTTACAACATTAAATGATTAAGATATTCATCTCAGGGCAAAATATCTAACCAGAATTAATGCTTTTTGACGGCAGGTTTTTAGCAGTGTTAATCAAAATAAGGACTGTAAAAAAAACAGCACATACTATCTTACACCTCGTGAAAAACTATCAAGCAAATATTTACTCTATTCTTCATTTGGATCCCTGTTAGTTTCCATAAAGTGCTCCCTGATCTCGCTGGGGTTACAAAGACACTTTAAAATCACACGGGTCTCAACACTAACTTTTAAAAAGGGTGGCAACCAGGCATCAGTTTTGGTAGCCAAACTGAACATATGGTTAGGTATTAAGATATGATGGGATTAAACGTTGGCTTAACAATGATAATAGGCCTAGCAACTGAACCAAACCCTGACTCTCAATTCCAGTAAACACACCAGTGCACATGCAGCGTTATCTGGTTCCTGTTCCGACTGTTATAACCTAAATATCACCAATGCAACAAATACTTGATGTACGTATTTCGGGCTGTAGTTTTGGTCTTGAAAATGTTTTATATGTTAAAAGTTGTTGCCATATAACGGGCACTAAATGGGATTCATTCAAGATTCAAGGCTTTTATTGTCATATGTACATAGTTACAGTGTTGTTATGACAATTAAAATATTAGGTCACAGGCTCCTCCAACAGTGCAACACAATAAAACAGATAAAATAGTGCAATGGTTGCCAATTTCTAAGAATGCAGTATCAATAAAACAAGATCAAAGGCAAAACAAGCCAAATAAAAAGATCATGAAATTATAAATTGATCCCGAGATGGAGATTTAGGAAGAAAGTGTGGGGTGTAAAGAAACAAGAGGCAGGAGGATTTACACATGGAGACTCTCACCTTTCTGATAGTCCTCCAGCAACAGGTTGAAGTGGCCCAGCTGACAGAAAATGTCCGGGTCCACTTTGCCCTCTGCTTTCAGGATGAGGGCATCATAGCAGCTAACAGCCTGAAGAGAGAGCAATAAGAGTGAGGCGTTAAGGGGTGCAACAGTGCAAAGAAAAACCATATTAAATGATTAAAAGATCCTATGCAAATATCACATTATAAAGGCTTGATATGGCAACCAAATTTAGATCATAACTTGATCTTAATGCTAAGCTAAGAGCTAAGGAAGTGATGACACACAGTGGACTGATATACTAACAATTGGTTCCTTTCCAAGCCTTCCAAGATTGTTTTGCATAGTCCCAGATAAATGATCTTGTCAGTCAGTATTTTATCAATGGCTAAACAAATTACTCTGATAGCCCATAATGCAGCCACTGAAGAGGAATAATTACACAGTGTGAATGTCTGTCTGTGTGTGTGCGTGTGTGTGTGTGTGTGTGTGTGTGACTCCACAAAATAATGTTTGATGAAACATGTCATAGGAAAAATGGTCAAACCAGTAAAAAGGGATAATGATATGTTAACAGAGCATCGCCTCCAGCTTATCACCTCGACTTTGCAATCACTAAAATAAAGAACCAACCAAATAAAAACATTCAAGCTTCATGGGAAGGCTACAGCATGAAACATTCAAACAAATACCGTTTCCTCATGCATGCATGTCACACACCAAATAAACAGCATGCATTATTACACACATTTTGGTAGGGCTGGCTTTGTGCCCGGCTGTTCTTCTACGAATGAATTTGTGCCACAGGGGTTAGCTAAGGCTGAGCAGAGCATACTGCAGAGAGTGTGATGCAGCAAAAACACACCAACCTCCAAAAAAGAAGACTACATAAGGGTTGCAGTAAAATGAAGATTTCCAGCAAGTGTGTCTCCCTTTCCCATCCAACCTCGAAGATTTTAATCGCAATCAATTGTCCCTTACAGTCAAGATGGTGTCAAGGTTAACAAAACAAGGTCTTTTTTTATCCTGTATCATTCCTAACTTTAGTGGATCATTACACACCATGAAGGGAATTCATTAGGAGATCAATTAGACGAAAGTGTTTCTTAGCTACGAAAATTGCCAAATTAGGCCTGAAAAAGACTATGTTAGGCTGGTTTATAGTCAAGCTGATTGCCAGAAATGTGTTTGCAGTTGTTGATCACTAGCAGCCTACACCAGCCGGTTTAGAGGAGCAAGGAGCTAGACCAGGGGCAAATCACAGCATAAACAATCAATAAAGTTTTTTTTTCTAAAATTGTTCATCATCGCGACCATAAGAGGTAATTTAACATACAATAACAAAGGTGCACCAAAAACATAAGGCCGATGGATCAACTGGTATGCGGAATAAGTGGCAGACAGACTGACAAACATAGGACTAAAACACATCACTTTCCTAGGTTTACATACGGCGTATCATTTCCTTTATTTATTGTTGTCCATTAACTCTGTATCATATGAAACAATAACTAATGCTGAACTAATATTCTCCCTTCCTCATATTACAATGGGAGAGTATAAAGAGAGGGCGTAAAGGGAACTTGGTATTAATATGAATGTATTCCAACACAGTGATCATTATTTAATGTGAAGCCGCCCTATACATGCTCTGTTACTGAATTTCCCCTAAGGAATTAATCAAGTATGCCTTCTTCTAATTAGCAGGAAAGACTATAACACAATTAGAAATAATAATTTTACTGTTGTATGATGTAAATAATAATAGGCCTGTAGGCCTATTGGCTGTTCAGGTATCGAGCAAAGTATGAAGGATAGACATAAAAATGGCATTAACTGAGTGCATGGTTCTATTTACACAGCATCATACATACACTTTTAGAAAAAAAATGCATGAGATATTATACATAGCCTATGTATGTTATGATGTGGATAGTAGGACTGCATGTGCTTCAAGGTACAAAGGACTGCCACAAAAATGGCATTTACTGAGTGCATGTCTGAGCCTAATCTGAAAGTACACCCTAACAAAACAACCAGCTAACCCTTCAGGAAGAAACCCAGGTGCCACATGTTGCAGACACACACCTAACACAGACATGCGAACATGGGCTGACATACACACGGTTGCTCTGTGTGAACCGAACACTTTGCATATAGTTAAATCCCGTTTATTAAATCGATCACCATTGTTACGAACCCTGAACGCATTCTACGTCAAATGGTTCTATGCGAATGAAGATTAGCTTAGCCACCGCTGCTAACTAGCTAGCAAACATTAGCTAGGTATTTTTTCTTCACGTCACCGCTATCTGGGGGCAAGTCAAGCAGTACTTATTTTAAACCCTGTAAAAAGGACTTGTTACCCGCTTGTAAGTGTCAGCTAAGTGGTGAAATAGTCGCTATATTTGTGACAGGAGTAATGAGACACCGCTGGGAAGTTAGCTGCTACATGCTAACAGAGGGAGCTAACCCAGTGTATCGAGGAGGAAACGGATTGTTTTAAGTCGGATACCAACATTTCTGCCAATTGTAATGTCTTTCCTCCACTAATTAAAGAAGTGTGCATTCACCCTTTACCTGGGGCTCATTATTATACGGTTGCAAATCACGTATAACAGTCAGGTAGCAAGGTGTTACATGTGTAAACCTCCCTTACTAATGAATACAATTTGTTTAGCCCACACATGTTTTCTACACACATTTAATATTCAAAAAGCTTAATTGTCATATGCACAGCTATAGTGTATACAGCAATGAAAAGCTTAAGTCCCAAGCCCTTGCAACATGATATATACGATATAAAACAACATTGCAATACATTTAATAGACTAATGTGCAAGTGACGTGCAACCCTGCTTTTCATTGTGTGAATAGCAACATATTTAACATTTAACAAACACGTTTACAACAGTCCGTTAAATGCCATCACGTAGCATGGGCACCTATTCTCTCTCAACCACTGATTTTAAGCAGGGTGGAGATCATATCATGCTAAAATTGTAATATTTAGGCCCCTTTATTATTGCCATCATTGCATAAATACACTGTGGATGTTTTATTATGTGCCATGCAATGTTAGGAGAAATATCCAACAAACAGATATTTTAGGTTGTATGTTATGATATGGATAGTAGGATTGCATGTGCTGAAAGTACACACTCACAGACCAATCCTTCACCAAGAAACCAATGACACCACTGATTTAAAATGCACTGTGGTTGTTTAATTATGTACCTAGCAGCAGTGTAAATCATGCTTATTTCCAAAACTGAAAGCTGCTATACTGCTTCAAAGTTGGGGACATTTATGCTGCATTTAGGGGTCTGTGTCACTTATTTCTGGTGTGATATGCACTAATCTTAAATTAGTTTGATGTCTTATACATATTTATGTAGTACAATATACAATTGTTATGTATATTTTACCCAATGTCTGTGTTATTGTAGTAAACATTGCTGGTGCTTAGTGAAATTGTATTCAAACGGATTCAGTATTTCCTTTATATTCTGTATCATTGACATACTATAGTGATAAATGTCTTTTCTACTGTGAATATTTAAACATTTGCTGTCAATGTTCATTTTTATTATATTTGTATCCTAATCTCTCCTTGAAAATATTGTAACTCTGGTGTAATGCTTGACAACACTGCTGCTGTGACAACATCACCAATTTGGTATGAATACAGTATGTCTATTTATCTATGTTGCAGGAGCCTGGGACTTAAGCTTTCAATTGGCATAACTACACTGTAGCTACTGTGCATATGACAATAAAAACCTCTGAATCTTATGCATCTTTGTTCCTATTCCATTGCATACCTTTAACAGCAAGGCCTTCGTTCTGGCGCCATCTTCTTGAAGCCTATGAAATCCAAACAGTGAACTGCAAGTAGAGGACAGACAACACACAGGCGGTTCCGTATTACTACTTCCAGGGTGCATTTATACTTGTTGTTGCAAACTGTGTGCAGAAAAATACACAATGCACAAATAAAACTGGTTGTAGAGTTCACATTTTTGCAACATCTAACCTGTCAGTGCCGTGCAAGCTCTGTTTCTCCTGCGCTGTGAGCTTCGGAAAGTCCTCTTCGATATCTGTTCCCGACGCCATTTTCTCCTCGTCATTACCAGCAAGGCTCCGAGCAGCAGCAGCACACGATTTCATGGGGAAGAAATGGGAATATCGACCACACCGAGAAACTCCAAGAGAATGCGCTAACAACGAGAGGTTTTGCACGGATATCCAGGACTCAAACGGGGCGTTAGCGACTAAATTCTTGCCCAATTCTTGTCCAAATCCTCAAGGAAATGATCCCTTCAAGTTACCTTCCACACTCCTCATTGTACTTCAAAACACGGCGTATATTCCAGTGCCTTTGTATGCATGAAGTTGGTGTAATGTTGGTTTTTTAGGAGGGAGTGTTTACTTGGTAATATCGTAAACTTCCCCCAAACCATCGGCTCAAAGTTGTTGTAATTGTGTCACATAGGCAAACGCACGCCGCCACCGTACGACACGCCCTCTGCACGTCTGAGCCAATCAGCGGCCGGCGTGTGCAGTCATGTGACCGTCTTCCCCAGTTTGTGTGTTGCGAGCACGCCTACGAACACGCGCACGCACACATCGAAATGGGCTTCTCTAAGACCCGCCTTCCAACCGGTGATTGGTTCCTCACGCTGTATTATGATTACGTAACAGTGTTTTAAGGCTACCCATTGGTTAAGATAGATGTCATGTTTGACTTGGCTGTCAACCATAGACTGTATGTCAACTATGTTTGTTGCAACGTTGCATAAATACTAGATAGATAGATATAGATAGATAGATAGATAGATAAGATTTTCTATAACAACACATACAGTTTCAGTTTCAGTGACAAAAAAAAAAGTGCAGGTTGCCAATTTTTTGTTAATGAATAAGACAAGATTAATAGTACAAAAACATTTTAAAATAATAGACAAACAGTACAACAAGAAAAAATCAGAGCACAAAAAAAAAATTAAACAAAACATGACAAGGTCGAGATACATGTTAGTCATCGTTGACTATAGAAAATCTGTGTTCTAATTCAGTTTTTTTTTTTAAATGGAAAAAAGTAAAATAACAGAATCAGTTAGGGAAGAGTAGGCAGTTTCAAACTTTCCATGTACGTTAAAAATGGTTGCCAGGTCCTATAGAATTTACAAGTGGAGCCACCCAAAGTACACTTTATTTTCTCTATGTGTAGAAACTTCATAAGTTCTGTCACCCAATGGACATGAGTGGGAGACGCCCCCTGCTTCCACCTCATAAGTATAAGTCGCCTCGCAATTAGGGAAGCAAAAGCAACAGCGTTTGAATAATGTCTGGAAAGGAACGTGTCGTCCGGGACTCCAACAATTGCAGCAAGAGGAGAAGGGGTGCATTTTACTTTAAAAATATTAGAAAACGTATCAAATATAGATGTCCAATAATTATGAAGATTTGGACATGTCCAGAAAGTATAAATGAGGGACCCTGTTACTGTCTTACATCTGTTGCATAAGGGATCTACCCCTGGATAGAATAGAATATAATTGGGAGGGATGAAAACCCTCTTTAATGGTCACACATGCAGAGCACACAGCACACAGTGACATTTGTTCTCTGCTTTTAACCCATCCTAGTACCAGGAGTCTGGCACAAATTGAGGAAGAGTGAACTCTTTGAAGGATGGATTGCCAATTATCATCTGTTATTTCAAATGCTAGATCATCTTCCCGTGCACTGAGATCTGATTGTCGAAAGAGAGGGAGAATGCAGGGAGGAAAGTACAACACCCTAATTACTCCTCTATTCTGCACATTTATTTCAAGAATCCTATAAGGTTGTTTCTGCTGGTTTATTTGGGTAAATTGCACTGTTGAGGAACTGGGATCTAAGTGTTTCATACATTACATAATTACACCGTAGTTGTGTATATGTTATGATAATAAACCTTTGAATCTTGAATATATTTACTGTATTTTTGGCGGCCCACAATTGTGTCCTAACCACCCACTGTTAAATAAATGGTCACTATTCAAATATGTATATGTAAAATTACATTCGTTTGTTAGCATTAGCACAGGTACAGTAACAATGCTTTGCTTCTTTAAAGCACTGAAAAATGGACATGACTGATACATTTTTTTTAATAGGGACTGTGGAACTGATATGTTGCTCACAGTTTTTAACTTTTGTTCATTTTAAACTCTTGTCCCGCTCATTATTATCTATTAAGTTTTGTGATAGCACTATTATTTTTGCTTCTGCTTTTGATTAAATCAATTCACTGTTCATCGCTTACACTGCACCATATCTTTCATTCTTGCATTGTATACCTTAGCTTGTTTTAATTGTAATTCGTTATCTTGGCTTTCTAATGACTGTTGTTGAATATAATTTTATAAAGTGTCTCTGTTGCACTATATCACAATACTTATATATCAGAATCAGAGTTCACATTAACAGTGTTAAAGCAAAAGGGGCATATCAGGTAAACAAAGGCAAGCATACTTATTTATGCTTATATTGTTTTTTGGGGATGATTTTGTGCTGTGTTGAAATGAAATGAATACACTTGCCTTTATTGCCATTATTATTTTAATATTTTTTCTTCTTATTCTTCTTCTTCTTATTATTATTGTTGTTTTTATTATGGTCCATGTCTGTATTTTATCTATGCATTTGTCTTCACTTGCACCGTCAGAATTATGCAAATGACGCCGGACGTGCAGCACTTATATGAGGACAGATTGGGTGAACTATTATTGGATGTGAAAGAGAACAGGCAGCACAGACACTGCAAAATGGCGAACCGCGACAAGGGTAAGCAGGCCTAAAAACGAATTACATCTATATGTGGTAATTCAGTACAATATATACAAACGAAACTAATTCATAAACTTTAATTGTATATTTAAACATCTCTAAACCTCTACTTACTGTCCCGTTAATACTGATTGTTTTTAGACGTAGCGGTTTTAGCTAACTTTCCAACTGTGTGATGCTAACTTTTTGTCATGAAGTTGAAGTAGATTTGTAAGAATGGGCGTAGTGGCCAAACAGTGGTACTACAAGTCCCCATTGACTTACATCGGGGAAAGAGACGTCTGTAAATCAGCGTATCATGTATTTATTAGCTAAATAAACTAGCCAGCACGAACTCTTGTATAGCCCTTATTTAAATCATTAGGGTGTAAAAGTTGTACCAATTCGTTAAAAGCTCAATCCAGAGACACAGGGCTGGGGAATACTCAACTGCGCATGCTCTTTGGGCCCACATACGGGTACTTTCTGAATCTACAGTGGCTCAATTTTTGTCTTCATGCGCCACTGAGCCACTCTCATAGGAATGAAAGGGGTTTTCCAGTTGTCTTTACATATGCTGCATGATGCTAACAACTTTGATAAGTTCTGAATGTAGCTAATAATGGAGACAGCTAGCAGTGTCATGTTAGCACCCCTGTAACTTAAACATGAAATGCTATGGTTTATTATTACTCATTTAGTATTTAAGTATTCGTATGATTCACAAGCGTTACATATGCACTGTAGCCCCAGGATAGTTTTTAAGGTGCACGTTTTAAGCTTCAAGGCTCCTCCAAGAATGACAATGCAACACACAATATACTAAAGAAATAGGGAGGTACATAATGCATTTAAATAGTGCAAGTGATAGAATGGTGCATGTGAGCTGCAGGAATATATACTGTGTTCATGTGATGCATTTAAAATGAAACCGAATGAAACAGAATGAAAGTAAACACTGTACGGTAGAAAAATGCTGTAATAATATATAAACCTGTGGATATGAGGACTATAAACGTGTACAATGATCAGTGTATTATAAATATATATTAAAAATGTGTGTGCAATTTTAGACTTGTTTAACATGGCACTACTGCCTGAGATCCTTTATACCGCCATGTTTACAGTCCACATATTTATATATTATTAGAAAATAATGTATTTTATTCCACTGTTTGTTACTTTACATCCTGTTTTTATTTTTATTCTATATGACATTAATATAAATGACTTATTTCTGCATTTTACCTGCAACATCATGTCACTTTGCACCATTTTCTTGCAATATTTTATTTAGATTTCTTCTTGCAGTATTTATGGTACTTGTGGGCAGTGGCGTAGCCAGGAATTATTGTGTGGGTGGGCCTGGAGAAATGTAGGTGGGACAGGGGGAGACTTATTAAGCGTGGGGTCTGAGCTGAAACTTCATTAATGATTTTATTTATTTTTGAATGCATTAATGGCGCATTTCCACGGCAGGGCCTCACACGGCTTATTACGGTATAGTTAGGCCTTGGTAGGCCAGGCTCACTTTATGCTGCGTTTCCATTACAGTTTAGTAGCTGGGGCAGTAACTATAGTAACGCAGTGTAGGCGGAGCCGTGACGTCATCTTCAATGAGAACCACAGAAAACCAACATTAGCTGTTAGCACTCAGAGCTCACAGCTCCTCATATCTGTTCAGAAACTAGACAAAAGTTAAACAAGTACAAACCACAGACTGTCTGTGTCATGGCGAATACAGTCGCTGCTTTATTTATGTCTGTAGGCCGTTGTTGTGAGTCTGGACGGTCGGAGCATATACTGCGTTAGCTTAGCCGATCTCCATTCAGAAAACACGCATTTTAAAAGGTTCTTCGCCTGCCGTCTGTCTGCAGACTTGCCAAAGCATTAATTCATGGTTTTTACTAACCGGTATCAGTATGTTGTTACTTCGGCATCATTTTGAAACGTGTATTACAATTAAATCACGGTCAAATATGTTCATTTTGTTGTAGTTGCCAGCGATTCTCTTACTAGTTTAGCATACTAGGCCCGGTTGTTGGCCCGGAAAGAACCTCGATTTTGTCCAGCCAGAAAAACTGTGAAAAAGTACCCGCTAGCCGGAACTACCCCTAGTGGAAACGCAACCAAAAACGGGCCGGGCACGGCACGCTTAAACCGCGCTCCGCGCTGTAGTGGAAATGCGCCATAATTAAACATAAGCATAAACTCAGAATGTGTGTAAAACTGACATCCACATGACTGGCTCGTCGGCCACAGGTTGTTTATCCTTGTCGCACAGTGGGCACACACTGAGAGTCTTTTCATATTCAGCAAATGTGTACACGCTTCACTGCAGACCTCAAGAAGAAATAAGACTTTCATTCACTCACGGCAAAACTTACTTTACTTACTAATTTACTCACGGTAAAAAAATGCACTCCCTATTTCATTGTCATGAAGGTGGAATCTAACTATGTCCAGAATACGTTTTATTGGATCCAGGCTAGAAACATGTTTATTTCTGCTGTAAAGTTGGGGGGGTCGATGGGAATTGCTCCTTTCTGCATCCATCCCCTGCTGGCCACTAGATGAACTGCAGTTTGTGGCACTTCCTTCTGGGCTTCCCGGCTCTGCCCCAGAGTTTGCCGCATGTCAGGAACGTCAAAATCGCTATGACGCGCTGATTGGCTGTGTGTGGGCCAGACGTGCATGTGGGTGGGCCAGACTCTAAATACGCACTATGCGCTAGAGTCGACCCAATTTAAAAAGTGGCGACAGATAACCCACAAGTACCGTATTTATATTTCTTTAATGTCGATGGTATAAAGTATATTCCATTGATGCCTAAGACTACAATTGTCATTGCTCAAACTACACTGTGCCTGTTGGGCAAATTACAATAAAGCCTTTAAATAATTGATTGATTTGCTGACTGTTTATGTTTTTCCATGTACGTGCAGAGCTGGAGGCGGAGATTTACGACAAGGTGGTGGACCTGACAGAATATGCCAAAAGCCAGCGATGGTGGAACGGACTTTTTGGGAAGAACTCCGGCCCCGTAGCAGAGAAATACTCCGTGGCCACACAGTTAGCCATCGGAGGAGTGAGCGGATGGTGAGTACTCTCATAGGAAATGCATTGTGCTGCCTTCAGGGACTCCTAGTTAACTCTACCACCTAGTTCTGTTTTATTTTATTTTTTTCAATATATTTGTCTTTTCAGGTGAGACAATACAAGAAACATTAAGGACAACACAACAAAACATAATAAAACCCACAAAACAATAACAACAAACAATGGTTGTACCTGATTCCATGTTTTAAGAGTATTTCTAACAATACCCTATATTTTCCAAGTCAAGAAATGTAGAATTAGGATCACTTTTTAACCATTCTATAGTATATTTAAGTTGTGACGCGTGATAAAACATAATGTTTGGAAGTGCTAATCCCCCTTCATCTAACGGTAGTTGCAATTTCTCCAGTTTAAGTCTTGGGCGTTTAGATTTCCACACAAATGTACCTATTATACTATGAAGTGATTTAAAAAAACTTTTTGGGATATAATTAGGCAACAACCTAGTTTTCTAAGGGCTATGATGAACCTTTATTGTGGCATAGTACGGAAACGTGTTTGTTACAGCAACACAATGACAGAATGGTATATACCAGGGGTCGGCAACCCCTGGCACGCGTGCCAGCATTGGCACGCGGCACCGTAACCAGTGGCACACTAGGAATAAGTGGAATAAGTGTGCAAAATATTTAAATTGTATTTTCGGATCCTGAACGAGACCGCCGCCAGAGCGCGTCTCCCCGTTACCTGCAGAAGGAAGCCATGCACGCAGCGCAGCCCCGCTCTCTTTAACTCCAGGTGACTTTCTGCCGCTTTCCTCCGTGGTGCAGGGCTGATCGTTTCACCACAGAGGAAAGCACTTCACAAACTGCAGTACCCATAAGGAGCTTTACAAATGCCGCAGTTTTTGCGTGGCTGTGTCTTTAGTTGAAAGCCCAGTGGCGATCTGCTCATCTCTCATTGAAATAATATGCTACACAGGGGCGGACTGGCCATCTGTGTGTTGAACTTTCCTGTCGGCTCCCAGACCGTAGTCGAAGAAACAGGGGGGACGACTCTCTGTCGTCTCCCAGGGCAGAAGCAACAAGCTTCAGGTTCAATAACCCACTTTAGCTTAAATGGCTGGAGAGAGGCGAGCTCTTCTGGGGAGGCCGTTGCATTTATTTAGCTGTTCTTCTGTTTCACAAAATACATCACAGACCTCTGTTTTTCTGCTGCCTCGTTTCACTTCCAGAAACATACACACGCTCGCTCACTCTCGCTCTACCATCCACACATGCACACGCCACACCCCTCTCTCTCTCTCTTAAAGGGACAGCGATCTCATCTCACTCTGCATGACCCTAATATCATCACATGTGTGTTCTGGAGAATCACAGAACGGACGATCGTCCTTATTATTAAGCCGTTTAAACCAATTATTTAAAGGTGTTTGTTAAATTCGATATCATGTAAGTTGTGCTGACAGGTCCACACACTGCTTCCCCGCAGCGAGGCTCCCCCCGCCCTCCTGTTGATAGTTCACGAGTGTCAAGCTCCTCAACCCCCCCCCCCCCCCCCGTTGATAATTCTCGATCGTTGGCACGCTGATAACAATTTTTTCTTCATATCAAAAAGGTTGCCGACCCCTGGTATATACAATGGCTATACAATATTTCAGAGTAAAGTGACAGTGGTTTGGTTACAGTGACAGTAGTGAGTCAGCATGTTTTTGTTAACAGTGGACACACGACTGTTGATATGATAAATAACAGCTTGGTATTTGTCTGTTTTATTATAAAAAAAAATAGAAAGTGATGCAGAAGGTTTTCAGATTAACAAAAAAAAAAACAAAAAAAATCGAAATCCTTCAAGTGTCATTAAAGCATAAGATAACATGTTATTTATTCTGAAGGGAATTGCTCTGCAGCAGAAATACAAAGTTGGAATAAAGAGGTTAATATAACAATGACAATAAGGTCTAAATCCGAAATGTAAACAATGCCAAAATCATGTTAACAGTAAGGATTGAACAGAAATAAACAGGTTACCGGAGGGGTACGTCTAGACGGGGTTGCATGTCGATCTGAGGTATGATACATGGTTAATACAGAATGTGTGTTAAAGTCATTGTTTATTAACCTTCATACTCTGTCTGGATTTATTCAAGGTGTGCAGGGTATCTCTTCTCGAAGGTGGGGAAATTAGCAGCTACGTCTGTAGGAGGAGGTCTTCTGCTGTTACAGGTATTCATCCATAACTATTCATGAACCCGCACAGGTTTAACCATTCAACAGAATAATAAACATTATAGTAAATCATCCTCTCATCTTTGCTTTCTTATCCGTCTTCTCTTTCTCCAGATTGCTAACAATAGCGGCTACATCCAGGTGGACTGGAAGAGAGTAGAGAAGGACGTCAACAAAGCTAAGAAGCAGTTGAAGAAAGGCACCGATCAGGCCCGCCCAGAGTTAAACACGTTTGTTGAGAAGGTGAGAAATCTACCAGTGCCTTCTGTTCTTCTCTTTATTCATGTCATTGCATCTTGTGTTTGTTTCATTCCTCTATGTAGGATTGTATGACGTGTCTTTGAGGTCGTAGAAAAGGGCAATATAAATACAATATGATATTATTATTATTTAAGTCCGATTTGTAGAATATAGAATAGAAATGGGACGTCCTGGTGGCCTTGTGGTTAAAATACCAGACGTTTAACTGCAGCATCCCTGAGGCCTGTACTACGAAGCTGGTTCAACCTAACCTGGATATGTTTGAGTTAGCCGGTTGGCCCAATCCAAAACATACGCGCTCTGGCTAAACTGTACTACGACGCTGGTTATCAAGTGGATCGCTCAAGCCAGCCGTGTCCCATCTAGTTAGGTGCGCGTTCACATGAAAGGGGTGGTATTTGGAGCATTCGACCAATCACAAACACGGACAAGCGTACTGACAGCGCAGCGTCATACTTCCTGAATGAAAAGTGAACTTTAATATTAGTCAAATATGAAGAAGTTAAACTTTAAACATCCATGACTTAAACACTTTATCCAGGATAAAAGCCACATAGCTGCACCTGCAAGGTGAATACAGCTGGTAAAAGAAAAAGTGTTTGAATGCGTACATTAACAGGTTTATGAAATCACTGCCCCGTCCAAGACACGAGTGGATCTGACTTTAATTACATTTGACTCGAGTGTTTCGTCAACTTAATGTGTTGCTTAAAATAATACTTCTGCATACAGTATGTGACACTGTGAGTGTTGCACGGCCAGATACGGCTCAGCTGACTCAGATAAGGAAATATATGATACATTATGATGTGATATGATATGAATGATAATGGGACACATCGACGTCTGCACTCACAGTGCCGCGGACTGTACGTAATGTTACTCTGATCCGGTTACTTATGTCGTGGCAGATATTTAAGTAAGCTTTCTTAACGCTAATGTTATAATAGTCAGATTGCTCTGAAGATGGGAGGGGATATTCTATAAATTTTCACGTTCACACAGTCAGTTGATTTTGGCCGACCGTCTTTCCTGCAACGGCAGTTTTTCTGTATTTCCTCTATCCTGTAATATGAATTGATCGCTTTAAACTCCGCACACGGAGCTCTGATTGGTCAGCAGGCGGTGCTTTCACTGAGTTGATCTCTTAGCCTGCCACCTAACCTGCTCCGGAGCAGGTTTGCCGCTCAGCATAAGTTACCATGGAGATCTAGCCTGCTAAAAAGAGAACCAGCGTCGTAGGACCGGAAAGCCCGAGATTTCCCTGAATTTAGCCGGCTAAGAGAAAATCCAGCTTCGTAGTACAGGCCTCTGGTTTTATGTTTCACTCCTTCACTGTAATGTCAATAATGTTGCATTGTTTTCCTATTGTAACTCAGGGTTCCTACTTTTTACATTGTTGATTTTATGTACAGCTGAAATAATGTATCCATATATATTTCTTTGCATGTACCAGCATTTTACAAGCTGAGAAAGTGAAAAGAAAATCCAATATTATTTGATTCTCCCAAATGACAGCATTCCCTGCTTTTCTTTGTCATATTTCATTTTAAAACTACATATTTTTGAGTGTTTAGACTGTTGGTTAACCAAAACTAGAGATTTGAAGACACTGCTTTTACTCTGTGAAGTTGTGATGGTGATTTTTGTATGTTTTACCATCACCATATGAACATAATCAGCAGTTGCAGCCATGATATCATCTTAATGCAAAGGCTATTTCAGCTGTATTGCATTTAGTGTGAATTAATGTCTGTCTGGAATGGATTTACTTTAAACTGAAATGTGTTTTCTGTGTGTTCCAGTCCACAGCGTTCGTGAAGAAGAACATTGTAGTCACCAGCGGATTCGCCGGAGGCTTCCTGCTCGGCATGGTGTCTTAGTTTCCTCCAAAGAAGAAGAGTCTATGCTCCCTCGATGTCGTGGAAAAACTTGAGGGAAACTTTATCAATCATTGCTGGAAGGTTTTAAAGAGTTTCCACAGCAAGCAACCTACTTCAGATTAGCTTGTAGCTGTGTTTCTACATACGCTGCACCTCCTTTTTGTCTCCTTTAATACTGTTAAAGCATGGTCGATATATAATGTGGGACTTCTTTGAAAGACCCTCTTAAAACGCTCCGCTCCCCAGGCCAAATAATGATGCATATCATGCAAAATGTTGTTTTCTAAGGGTAAAAGCCATTAGAATTGTTTTTATTTATTTAGCTTGACAAACTTGTTCCAAAAACAAAGAGTATATGTAATTTTCGCTGCCTTGTTGCTCACATAAAGCCAAGCACATGCAGCGTAATGAAGTATAATTAAATTCACCTTCAGGTGGCAGGTGATGCCTTTTTAGGTTATATTTTGATCTCCATGGTAATCAATCATCTCCGGGGTTAGAGTGCTGATGGATTTGAGAGAAATATATTTTTGAAAGGTGCTGCAGGACATGTTTGATGGGTGTTAATGTCAGCCTCCCCTGCATCTCCTTTTCTATGTAATGTATTTTGTTTAGCAATACATTGAAGCTTTAAGTACTGAAAGCTGTGGTTTGTCTACAATGTACGTTTGATGAACAAATAAAAGTAATAAAAGCACTTGAAATCTTTTGCGTTTATTTTTTGATAAATGATGTACATGAATTGCTTTTCCCTCTTGACCTTGAGTCTTGTTTGTCTTCAGTCATGTTTTGTGTTTAGTATCTGAGTTTGGCTTTACTTTCACTTACAGCATGAGCCTATAATTAAAGACCACATTAAAGTATGTGTACTACTACCTATTAAATGGTAAGGCATGAATCCCTTTTAGGCTTTTGAATGCAAAACAAATAATTTCTGGTCAATGTTTTGCCTTTAATTTGTTGTCTCATTACTTTGCTTCTTTACTTAATCAAAAATACCACAATATACTAAAAATAACCCTCTACAAGCTGCATATGGAAATGTATGTGTGTATTTAAAGGTAAAGGAAATACATTCAGTGAAATAAAACAAAACAGTATTAGCCTCCAAAATGAAGTAGGCTACAGTAGGAAGAATAAAATGGAAATGGAAAAAACAAGGTAGGCAAATGGGTTACTCAAATGTGTATTTACTGCAATTACACTAATTCTTCACCTTGACAAATAATATAATTTATAGTACAGCAACAGAGTAGAGAATAATGTATGTTACCTGTTTAATACTTTTAGGATTCGTGGTTTATTGCACTAGTTGGTCGCTTTGGATACAAAATGTTAATGAAAGGAAATATAATGTAAAGTATTTTAGTATTTTAATAGTTTTCTGTGTATTTTTGAGACAACGTTACATTTTAGCTTGTACTAAAACATGCTAATATTTGACCCGTAGTTGTGCCCTGGTGTGTACAAAGTCTCTGTTATTGTTTCCTTTGTTAAACCCTTTATATATACAGTCTATGGTTAAACCTCATTGTTGTAAAAAATAAAATAAAAACAATAATCAACAATAGTTTGCCGGCCTAAACGTTGCTAGGAGACGCTCCCAAACAGAACGCTTCCATGGCAACCATAACAAACGGTTTGTTTTTTAAATGAACGGCAGATAATCAGACGGTTTTACAAAATACCGCCATGGCATTACCGTTTCTACCCGGGAATTCCCGAAATAGACAGGTAATATAACATAATTAACGGGTGTTTACTTTAGCTGGGGTTAGCTTTATTCACTTTATTAGATTCACAGCATATTTAGAAGCTAGCTAAGTGTAATTAACCTAATGCAAGCTAGGTAGCATGCTAGCTCCTGAGCTAACTAGTGTTGTGTGTCAGTTAGTCAGTTAGTTAGTCAGTTAGTTAGTTAGTTAGTTAGTTAAATGTGTATAGCCATTAAGAAATTAAACAAGCTGCCTTAATGTTTGAAGGTTAATAGCTGATACAACGCAATTATTGTATTAATAACATGTTCATGCCTACTTATGCAGTGGTTTAAAGTAGCTAAGTACATTTACTTAAGTACAATTTTGAGGTACTTGTACTTTACTTGAGTATTTCCATTATATGCTACTGTGTACTTCTACTACACTACAGTTCAGAGGTAAATGGTGTACTTTTACTCCACTACAATTCAGAGGTACATTTTTTACTTTTACTACACTACATGTATTTAATACCTGTAGTTACTTTACAGATTTGGATTAATGATGTGAATTATAATCAACTCCTAAATGGAGTATTCCTACACTCTGGTACTAATACTTTTACTCAAGTACAAGATCTGAGTACTTCTACTTTTACTCAAGTACAAGATCTTAAATCCTAAACAAACATGTTAGTTTTGTTAAAAGTCACAATTCAATCGGTGCAGCACCTGTCAAATTGGTTATCTTTAATAACTAACTATATTAGTTTAACAACATGTCCGTCTTTACATTGAGTTTTGATGATATCTTCCATTAAGTGCACTTTAATTAAGCTGTGTTGCTATTGATATAGGGTTGGGTGAGTGCCAGTGAAACAGAATACATTAATTAATGATTTGATGTATTAATTACATACCTTATATGCCCATGTTACTCACCTTTTTTCATAGGAAGTGATCATTCTTGACACATGTTCTTCTTTCTGTCAGCAGCTGGGGAAGGACAGGTTCCACAAATCCCAACATTTTGATTATTCCAACGGAGTCCCTTTGCTGATGGGAACCGAGAAGCCGGGCATCGGAGGAGAGCTGTTACTCGGCCAGGAGATCAAACCAAAGTTTTCTGTCTACCCCAAAGGAGAGGGCAGCGATCTACCTGCATGGGTGGCCTTTGACAAACAGGTGAAGGGATATCTATCTATCTATCTATCTATCTATCTATCTATCCATCCATCCATCATCCATCCATCCATCCATCCATCCATCCATCCATCCATCCATCCATCCATCCATCCATCCATCCATCCATCCATCCATCCATCCATCCATCCATCCATCCATCCATCCATCCATCCATCCATCCATCCATCCATCCATCCATCCTCTCTCTCTCTCTCTCTCTCTCTCTCTCTCTCTCTCTCTCTCTCTCTCTCTCTCTCTCTCTATCTATCTTCTATCTATCTATCTATCTATCTGGCTAACAGGCTAACAGCCATGATTTGATGAATGCCATATAAAATGCCCTTTACCCCACCAGGCTTTATGTTTTGAAGCGTTCTGTAAGGAAGCTGAGACCCAGGCCCAAGATGAGAAGTACAGAATCAGGAAGTTTAAGATCTTCTTCTTCCTGGAGGACGACACCATGCAGGTGGTGGAGCCGGAGAACAAGAACAGTGGCATCCCTCATGGTGGGAATATCTTGTGAATGTATTTTCATGTTCATTTGGATGCATATTAGACTTAGACTCTGACTCAATGATTCATTACCCAAAGTGCACACGTCACTAAGATATGATGAGTAATTTAATATTTCATTTCATTTGTATTTGTTTCGTTCATGGTATGATTGAATTTGAATGTTTAACAATTATTTACAAAACATGTCTCTATAAACACACCATACCCGAAAAGGAGCAGGGAGATTTTATTATTTATTTTTATATCACCTGCCCCTTTTTCAAAAATAAATAAATACATAGAAATAGATGGTCTGTCCTTCATATTTTCGTATTCGCAGCCCATCATAACAGTATCGTAGGAAAATAAGAGAAACACAAAAACTTACAAAAAAATACTTAGTTCCCACTTGACAGTTAACGGAAAGAAACAAAACAACAAAACATCACATGAACAAGTAAAGTGCAACACCCTCATCCGTTCCGTGTTGTGTTTTCCTCGCGACAGGAACCTTGATCCGTCGGCAGCGTGTCCCCCTGCCCCCCCCCAGATGATGACCAGTTCTACAACATTTTCCATTTGAACCTGAACCAACAGATGGTGCTGTACGCACGCACTTTCACTGTGACCAACTGTGACTCCTTCACCAGGAACTTCCTCACTAAACTGGGGGTGATCCTGAATAACCCCGCCACTGCACCTGATGACCCGCACAGCCGCCTGCTGGATAAGGTGGGTGTCACACTCATAGCTTTTTTTTTTTTTTAAATGCTTCATTTTCTCATAAAAACAACAATGACACAATTAAGTACTACACCTAACCTACAAACTCACCTGTTCACCATGGCCTTTGACCCCTAACCCATCACCCTGTCCTCACTGTGCAGCTCCTTCAGCGATAGGCTGCTGCACCCCCGCTGTCTCACGGAGAGATACCGCAGGTCTTTCCTTCCTGCAGCGATCAGACTATACAACCAGCACAGCCCCTAGTTGACCCCCCCCCCCCTACACACACCACAACACAGACGATATCACCCCTTGCTGCTAAATACCAACAAACTATGTGCAATATGTGCAATATATAAATGCCGTTAATAACTGTAATATAAACCTGGCTGCTAAATCCTTAGAACTGTTACAAGGTGTGTATTTTGTATTTTGTAAATTGTGTAACTTGCTGCTGTTAAATACCAACCACCTATGTGCAATATGTGCTAGATGTGCTAGATGTGCAATATATATAGATGCCATTAATAACTGTAATATATACCTGGCTGCTAAATCCTAAGAACTGTTACAGGATGTGTATTTTTTTTTTTTAATTATGTAACTTTTTATTTTTTATTATATTTTTTATTATATCATAACTTCATTTTTTTGTAATGCATGTCACATATTTAACATATGTAACATTAAGCTATCTGTGGCTCTTTTTCCTGCTGTAACTACGCACATTTCCCCTCCGTTAAGGCTATTTCCAAATAATGATTTAGAACACATATCTGATCAGGGACACAACTACAACGATTTAATAATAATAATAATAATAATTAATTGCATTTATTTTAGCGCTTTTCCGAGTGCTCAAAGTGCTTTTCATGATATATATATGAATATATTCAAAAATCTCTCAAAACTCACTTATTCACTCTAGCTTTCAAACTCTGATCAACAACCCCACCCTGCTTTACTCGCACTTGGATTAGGGCGACTGTTTATGTTTTTTGCTTTCTTTGTCCTGTTTCACTTTCTGATTTTATGTAAAGCGTATTTGAGCACTAGGAAAAGACTATACAAATCCAATGTATTATTATTATTAGATATTAAAGGTGGGGTAGGCCTACCTGCCTGTCAGCCTTCCATCTGTGCACAAACTTATCTCGTGCCCTCATTGGTCATGTGCGCGTTCGTGTGTGTTGGAGGAGGGGCTCTGTAAGGAAGTGGCAGATTTCTTCCGGATGTGTATTTTCAAATTCTAGCGATCTCGAGCTGGTTTCTCCAAAATTACCTACCCCACCTTTAATACATGAATACTGTGGACAATACCCACAAGAGCAATTTGGGGTGGAGTGTCTGGCCCAAGGACACACATCAGAATCAGAATACCTTTATCCGTCCCACAGAGGGGACATTTACATTGTTACAGCAGAAAAGAGCCAAAGACAGCTTAATTTGTTCGTTTGTTTGTTTTTCAAAAACAAATGTATTTCTTTAACCCTCCGGTATCATTCGATTGGACTACGCAAATTAGTCATTCGGGACAAAAATGTCCACTGCAAAAGACTTTGATAAAAACATTATATTAAAAGGTTTTTTTCTCAACTTTTTTGG